CCTTGCTTCTCTCAGGGACTGTTATCCTTTGGGCCTGGAGGATTGCCCCCTTAAGTTATGACCATCCCTCGTGGACTCCCATCTCCTCTACCTTCTGGGCCCTTAGTGCCTCCCCCACTAGTCTCCTAAGCTCATTGAAGTTGACCCTTCTGAAGTCAAGGGCTTTAGCCTTGGTGTGAGCCCTAGACATCCTGCGTTGGATAATGAAATCCAGCAGGTGATGATCGCTATTGCCCAGGTGGTCAAGGACCTCCAGTCCTCTCACCAGGTCATCCCCCGTGGCCAGGACCAGGTCCAGAAAGCCATTACCCCTAGTGGGGCTGGCTAGCTATATCTAGCTAGCTATTCAATATCTTCCCTGGCATTCACCATTTTTGGTTTAAAGATGCCAGAGGAAACATGTCCAAACATTCTGTTCAGTAGCCATTAATATATTTATCATCCATGAATTTATCCAGTCGTTTTTGAACCTAGCTATGCCACTGGCCTCCACCACCTTCTGTGATAATAAATTCCATAAGTTAACTGTGCATTGCATAAAAAGTACTTTCTCTTGCTAGTTTTAATCCTGTCACCTACTAATTTCAGTGAGTGTCCCCTAGTTCTAGTATTTTAAGACTTGATGTACATAAGTTCCATGTTCACTTGGTCCACAGTCTTCATGATTTTGTAGACCTCTCATATCCCCCCTCAGCCTTCTCCTTTCCAAACTGAAGAGTTCTAGCCATATTAGTCTCTCCTGGTATGGTTCCATGCCACTGATCATTTTGGTTGCCCTTCTCTATACCTCTTCTAATTCTACCACTCCTTTTTGAGATGCAGGGACCAGAATTCCATGCAGTATTCAGAATGTGGGTGTACCATGGATTTGTATAGTGGCACAATGATGTTCTCCATTTTGTTTTCAACACCCTTCTTAATCATGCCATTGTAAATTCAGAGGTTATTAAAATTTATTGTCTGAAAGAAAATATCTGTTATTTCTTGATAGAAAATATCTATCAATTCTTAGGAGGTTGTATGGATATGTCTGGAACCTCCAAAGAATGTATGCCCTTGGCTTGCCATCTAAAACCTACTGAAAACGTAAGTCAAGGCTTGAAAATCAGGATTTTGTTCCCACTGCTTGTATGTCATTAAGATGCAGAATAATGGTTCTGTTGAATGTGTACCACGTTATACTCTCTTTCATTACAACTGGTCAGACCACAAGACAGTGTCCTCTTGCTTCTAGCTGTCAGCCATATGGCTCTCCTAGTGCCTCATGTAGCTTTTAGGCTGTTTTATTTGACAGCTGTAAAATCACTTTTAGTCGCAATATGTAACAGTAGCTCTTGTACCATACAGGGACCTCCTGGCCCTGAAGGGGAGCCTGGCCTGCCAGGAGAACCAGGTGAAAAGGTATGTGGTGGACTTATTTTCTTCTGTGCCCTTAAAATACTTCACTCATTTTAGTAAAACCAGATCAAGTGTTAATTTGGCTTCTCAAGAAATTAAGCAATAATAAAAAGAAAATGAAACTTCCAAGAAAAATTATCCATCCTCTTCATCAATAACATAACTAGGAAAGGACAAGGGGGATTCTAACCACAGGCACCAGTTTGGGGAGCCCAGGCCCTGGCAGCCACAGCCAGGCAGTGTGCAGGGAAGCTGCCCTGGCCCTGGCCCTGGCCCCGACCCCAGCAAGGCAGTACGCAGGGAACCTGCCACAGACCTAGCCTCAGCAAGATAGTGTAAAGGGAGACAGCCCTGGCAGCAGCAGCTGTCAGGTAAGAGCATCCCATGCTTTCTTCAACGACTGTTGTCCTCCCCTCTAGCTGTCAGGTGCTTGGCACAGCATCCTCATTGAGCCCTTCCTGTCTCTGCTCAGGGTGCAAAAATCACTAGTTCCACCTCTGCTCTTCATCACTGTTGCCATTAGTAATGTTTGTCATCATTAGAGATGTTGCTCCCAGCAGCTGACTGTTTTAATTTCCACATGGTATATTCCAGGGAGACATCGGACCTGCTGGTAAGGCTGGTGAACCTGGAGAACAAGGTTTAAGGGTGAGTGACAAATATGAACCTATTTCCTAAAGGGAAAGTGTGTTGAATTTCAGAAATGTCTTTGTGTACTGAGATATAATAACCTTTGTGTACCAGAGCAATTTAATCAGGAGTCTCTGATATTTTTAAAGAGAAGTTTTGTGTTTTGTAACATTGTAACAGATTAGTGGTCTGAGCATGTAAGTAGGAGCCAAGAACTCCTGACAGTCAAGCTTAACTTTGAAGGTGTCACCTTTGCCAACTCAGGGCATGTCTACAAAGCACAGTGTTGTGCAACCCAGCACCAAACAAGCTGGTTCAGATATCAGACCGGTATAGGTGAGTTAACCTAGCCTGTCCCCCAAGCTAGCTTTCAGCAGGGTTACCCTTTGTGAATTACTTTACTAATGCATTTATATTGCTTCCAGTGCCTGGGTTCAAGTATCTTGGTATGGCACTGCACTGGGCTGCTTAAAACACACACTTATTTATTCTCTGTATCCTCATCGCTGCCCAACAATTCACCAACTTTTCTAGGGTGAGGACTATGTCAAATTCTTTGAAAGTAGATTACTAAAGTGACCATATGTCCTAGTTTAGCCAGGACAGTTCCATATTTCAGAGGCCATTCCTGGCTGACTCTTGGGAATTATAATGGACATCCCAGAAATGCAGGGGCACAGGGTGCAGTCTGGCTGAGAGTCAGAGTGGCATAGAGTGCATTGCAGGCAGGCACCACTGCCTGCCCAGTATGCCACCCCGCCCCCATTGACTTCTGAGAGTGCAAGGAGGGGGGAAAGCAATGTCCCAGATGAATATCCCAGATGTTCCAGATTTCCTAATGGTGAGCCGGACCTAACCAAAATAGTGAGTTTGCTGTTTTAATAGAAAATGCACTGAAACACATATCAACAATAGCAATAGTTTTCCTAATCAACATAAACTGAAATATGTAATGTAAATTTAAGTTGCAGATTGTTCTGTAGGGAATGGGTCTGAAGAGAGAGCTGCTTTAATTAGCCAGGAACTGGAAAACCAACCTAGCTTCTGTTAGAAGATGAAAAATTACTAAAATGAATCAAATGTTTGATTCTCTTCCTGTTGTAACAATTTTATTGTTATTTTCTCACCTTTCATCTTTTGAGTGTAGTCCTACTTCGGTTAGCCTTTTCTTCCCACTTTGGGTTAGTTTCTCTCAATGACTAAAGATTTTTCTCTGCAAGCATATCAAATGGTTTACTTGGATCAGGCCAGCTCTTTGCATCAGTTAGTTCTGATTTCCCAGGCCTGAGTTCCCTTTTTTCTTTCTTTCTTGATCTTTGGGGTTTTTCATAGCTGGAATCAGAACTGTGGAGAGTTTAGGATAACATTGTTATAACAAATTTTCTCTAGAAAGATTGTTTGCAATGATAAACTAGACACTTCCTAATTTCACTTTTAGATTATGGTTGCATGTTTCATTATTTCTTCACTACTACTTCCACTTCCCTCACAAAATCGCATTTGAGGTAGGTTCCAAGATTCTGCTAATTCTGTGAGAAGAGTTAGTTCCAGGCAGTGGTCAATATTAAATAGTAAACACTTGTTGGACCACCATGTCATACTGCAGTTATTTTCTACATTGTGGTGCACCTGCTGTTTGCTGTGCATTCAAAATATGATTTTTGAGTGTTCTGTTTCTTTGAGGATCAAATTCTTAGGTAATGGACACATGATTGGGTTAACCCACAAAGTCAAGCTGTCCTGATTAAACCAAGATGCAAACAATGACACTAAGGATAGAAGTTATGTAGCCTGATGTACCCCTGCCCCAATGGTGGCCAATTTACTTGTGGACCAATTAGGGACCATTTTCTCATGTTGTCTAAAGCTGTCTTTCAAATGCACAACCTGCTTGCTTGGGTATAACTGGCACAATTAGATTCTCTCCAGGCTTCTGCCTCAAGTTGTGCTTATGCATTACTGTATCTTTTAGCCTCAAAGAGCTAACTACTAGGGCTGTGTGAAACAGCACCGTTTTGTTTCAACTTCCGTTTCACCATTTTGAAGGGACAGCGTTTCGTTTTGTTGTTTTGTTTCAAAGCACTCTTCCATTTTGTTTTATCGAAACTGTTTCGCTGTTTCAACACATTTCGACATTTCACCTATAGGCTAAAATGGGGAATCATGAAAATGCCTATAACTTTGTCATTTCTTACCTGATTTGGATGAAAATTGCAGGGACTGTAGCCCCTTCTGAGGGCATGAAGCCTGACATGGTTCAAGGAGATAGGTGCCGGGGGTTTTGAGAAACTGCACCTCAAACAGTTGAAAGCAAAACTTGTATCACTTGCCGGCAGCAGCAGCCTCCTGTCATCCCACATGCAGATCTGGGGGCCTGCAGCCCCAGGAGGGCTGTGGGGCTGTGCCAGACTCCTCCTGGGGTTGTGGTCCCCCAGATCTGTGTCTGGGATGACAGGAGGCTGCCCCTGGGACTGGTGCTGGGCAGGCTAGTGCTACCGCTAGCCCCAGGCAGCAACCGGAACCTCCTTTCATACTGCATGGAGATTTGGGGTCCTGCGCACCCCAGGAGGCCCACACTTCATGGTAGCATTGGGAGGGCAGGTGAAGGAAGCTACAGAAAATTTTGGGGTGGAAGCAGCCCCCCTTTCATTGCTGCAACCTGCCACAAGCTCTGGTGAGAGCCCAGTGCCACCCCTGCTGCAGCCCTGGGAGCAGCGGGTGCCGCCTGCCTGCAGCCGCTGGGCTGCACTGTGCCTGAGGGTTCGGGGCATGATACAGCCCAGTGGTTACAAGCAGGTGGCATCTGTCGCTCCTGGGGCTGCAGCAGGGGTGGCACCAGGCTCTTCCCAGCACTCGGTGGCAGCACTTGGAGGGCAAGCTGAGCTCCGTGGGGCTGGTGGAGCCACTCATAGTGCAGTCCTGGCTTTCCCTCCCCTCCTGCCACTGGGCTGCACTCCAAGCAGCTCTGCCAGCCCCACAGAACTGAGCCTGATGGCGGGAGGTGGGGGAGAGCCAGGGCTGCACTCAGAACTAGGACTGTGCTCAGAGCAGCTCTGCCACTGGCTATCCCACCGCTGGGCTGAGCTCTGTAGGGAAGACCCCGGCACAGCTCCCCAGCACGCAGCCCTCCCATTGCAGCTGGTGCCGGTGGCCCCCCAGGAAGAGCTGGGGGAAGTGATCAGAGACCTGGGGGAACAATCAGGGATCTGGGGAATCCAATGGGGAACTGGGGGAATGTTCAGGGACCTGAACATTCCCCCAGCTCCTGGTTCACTTCCCCCAGCTCTCTGATTGCTCCCCCTGCTCTTCCCGGGGGGGCATAGCCCCCCAGATCTGCACGCTGCAGTTTCAGTGGCAGCCTGCTGAAACCCCACACACAGATTGGGGACTAACACCCCCCTGGAAGAGCTGGGGAAATGATCAGAGTGCTGGAGAATCAAACAGGGAGCTAGATGTCAGTATCACAAAGCAGTCCTTGCCCCCTCTCCCTCTCCTCAGTTTCTGTTTAGCTGCAGCAAGCCCAGCTTCGAAACTCAAAAATTAACAAAACTTTCAAAACATTTTGAGTGCTCTTGTTTCATTTTTAAGCCTTTTGTTTTGTTTCGATTTCGCTGTTTCGAGCTCAAAATGTGTTGAAACAGCTTTGAAACGAAACACCCGTTGAAATTTCGCACAGCCCTACTAACTACTGTGGTATCCAAAATATCATGGTGTGGTTACTGTTGTTAAGTGGTGAGTTTTCATGGTAAGTGTTGGTTGTGATGCTGAGGTACAACTGATCAGCCTTTGAGATTTTACTTTTTCAGATTTACAGGGTTCTGATTTATTCCCAACATAAAATCTGTCTGAAAAATTCAGTCAATAACAGTAACGCAGACAGAAAGTTTGTGTTCTTTAAAGGCAACTCTGTTCCCTTAGAAGGAACTTCTTCAGATACTTAAGAGAGAGCCATAACTTTTTTTTAATTTCTGCTCACAATTAGGGTGGACCAGGACCTCCAGGAGAAGATGGTACTCAAGGGATAGATGGCTCAAAGGTAGTCTTCATTATTCATAATAGATGGTATAGTGATATAGCTAAAAACCAAAATCTAGTGCTGTTTCATAAACCTAATGTAAAATTATCAAAGATTAGCTATTACCTAGCCATTCATGGACTCCAGTGTGCCTTCCAGGCATGGTACTGAACTGGAGGTAATGCAAAGTTGGATCACCCTAGTAATAAGTCTGCTCCCTGAACCTAAGCCTGCAGCAGGGGAAGCCCCGCACTGGAGCCAGCTGCTTCCCTCACTCCCCATTGTGCAGGTACTGCACTCCGCTGGGAGTGGAGGGAGCCCTGCCCCCTGCTTCTGTACAGAGTCCAGTGCAGGGCTTCCCCTCTTTGAGTGCAGAGCTACAGGTGCAGCACAGAGCAGTGATAGAGGCAGCCAGTGCTGTGCTGGGGGTGAGGAGTGCATCCCTGCGTAGCCTGCCCAGCTGCTTTTATCCCTGCAGCTCCCCGCCATGCCAGCAGTGCCAGCCACGAGTACCTTGACCTCCAAGTCTGCTGCTGCTGCCAAGAAGTGGGGGCTGCATGCCTTGGGGAGTGTGTGGGGGTCCCTACACCCCCACCCTCCCTCACACCCCACACAAATACCGTGCCAAGCTGAGCTCGGCACTCCTGCTGCCCCTTTGTGGGGAGGAGGAGGAGGGGGAAGAGTTTCCCCCAGCATGGAACAGAGCCCCCCCAAGAAGTCCCCATCTAGCACCTCACAGAGTCCCCCCTCCTCACCCTGGCCCCATTAAGGTGAGGGGGGCTGGGAGAAGGGTTAATTCCTCCCTCCATCCCTTCTCTGCAGCTGGGGTCTGCCAGCTCCAGGGGCCACCACTGCAGCCCCCTCCCCTTTGCTCCCCAGCAGACAGGCTGACCACAGCTGCAGCGGGGGAAGAGGGGATGGAGGGAAGAATTAACCCCCTCCCTGCCCACTTTGCCTTAACAGGGCCGTGCTGGCCACTGTCTCTGCTAGGGTCAGTCCCTGGGGTGGGGTCAGCCCTGGGCTTCCAACTAAATATGAGATTATTTGAAATACAGACCCTGCTCTGGCTAGAGACCAGAAGACTGGGGTCAGACCTGGGGCTGGAGCAGAGAGCCCCACCCAACCCAGAGAGCATGCCGGGATGCTGGGGGTGTCTGGTTTATCTTAAATCAGCAAGGGGTCTGGGACAGACATTGCATAAACTGGTTTGATCCAAATCAGCTAAGTCTGATGCTACATTCAACCAGGTTTATCTCAAACCAGTTTTGGCCATTTTGAAACTGGTTTGTGTGCACTGAATGTCTGTTCTGTTACAGGTTTTAACCAGTTTCTGATCACTTAAACTGGCTTATGTGTAATGTCTGTTCCTAGCCGAAAAGGGCAATTTGAACAGAATAAAAAAATATTGATGCAAGCTTACAGTCTGATCCAAAACAAACTGAAGTTACTAGAAAGACTCTTCTTGGCTTTAATATTCTCTAGATCAGGCCTGGGGGTAAGCAGAGTGAAAAGGAACTTGAGCGACATATTGCAGAATAAATGAACAGTTCCTTTGGGGCTTACTTTTTATTTCTGTAAATCTATAGGGTGATTCTGGAGACCAAGGACAAGCTGGAGAGGATGGTGAAAAAGGAGAAACAGGAATACCAGGAATTACAGGTTCCCCTGGTGAACCTGGTATAATGGGCACTCCAGTGAGTATTACAGCTAAGTTGAGAGTTACTTCTTACAAACAAAAAAGAACTTTGAATGAGCTCATTTCCCAGCCCTGCAGCTTTTCAATGTTTAATGCATCTATAAGAAGAGAACTGTGTCATTCATTTCTTAAACACAAAACCTCTTTGAGATTTTGATTCCTCAATGTTTCTCCCTTATGTTTATGGTTGTCCACCTGAGTTCATGTACTGCACAGCTTGAAGACTCCTACTTCAAATATGTCCTCAGTTAAAGTTCAGTTACTGGCCTCAGTCTCAGCCTTCATTTGGATACTGTCATCAAGTTCAATGTATTAAGTAATTTTAAGGAACTAACAAAATATATAATTTGCAATAAATTCCACCTTATGGTCTTTCATTGTTTTCTGTGGCATCTATCCCTTACCTGGATCCCTTGTTTATAGTCATCCTTGACAGTCTAAAAGAGCTCTGCAAAAGAGCTCAGACCTGAAGAAGAATGTCTTGCATTCAGAAGCTTGTCTAACTTTAACCGATTATACAGATGGTCCATTAAAAGATATCACCCAAATAAATTCTTGCCTCTGCAAAAGAGTGTAATGCATGCAAGAGGTGAGAGCCTGGAGATTGAAATGTGTCCTATTTACCCACAAAATTGCACCAGAGATACCGGCAGTACGGGATTTCCCAGTGTTGTGTGTGGGATCTGGAGCTTTCCCCATTTAGGCTACTGAATCCAGAGCAGGTTGGAATTATCTGAAAATTATTATCACATGATGGCTATTGAGGTGCCTATATGAAGCCAGCTGGTGATTCTAATCCAGTTGCTCGTGGTATGAAGCCTGTCTCAGGGCATGGACACATGTATGTTAGGGGTGTGCGAAATGGGCCATATTTGAATTGGTTTAGTATTCAGCCCAAATCAGGGACAGTGATTCAATTGGTTGATTCGGATCACCATCCCAATTAAATTTGATTGAATCTGAAACTAAAGATTCAATGCTGATTCGGAAAATCAGTGATTCGGCCCTAGATATAAATTTAAATGTTTTTTCTACATACCTCAAGATACCAGGTGTGGCTTGTAAATGCTGCAATGATGGGGAGGATGGAGAGTCCCACAGGAGTGCAGAGGTCTCCCCCTGCGTGCTCAGCAGTGGACCTGGAAGCAAACCAAAAGCACTTCGGGTCCACCTCTGAGTGTGTGGGGAACCCCCACTCCCCCCCCCCCGCACCCTCTCTGGCTTGGCAGTTGGCCATGGGGAGACCCCAGGTGCCCCCCCAGACTCAGGAGGCACCAGTTGCCAAGCGAGGGGGTGGGAAGGGTCCCTGCATGCTCCACAGCAGGCCCGGGTCCACTGCCAAGCGCGCAGGGGACTCCCCCATGCTCCCACAGGACTCTCCACCCACCCCCAGCATCCCAGCATTCACGAGCTTCCTGGTACCTTGAGGTATGTAGAAAAAACATTTAAAGCTGTGTCTGTCTGAATCATCGAATCTCTCCAAATCAATTTGGAGGGTTCCAGTTCAATTCGGAAAGATTAAAGGATCTCCAGATTTGATTCGGAGATTCAGCTTCCGAATAGGGCCAAATCTCCACTGAATCGAATCGGCAACCAAAGCTTCGCACAGCCCTAATGTACATTTGGACATGTTTCAAAAGGGCAACAGCTGTTACTTCCTAATTGTTAGGTATGGACAAGCCAGGATGGATATCAAAGTAGTAAAAACCACTCCAACTTTAACACTGCTTCATCCAACATCACCTAGAGGAGCTAAGGTGTGAACGGGTGTTTGGCTATCTCCTTCTTCTTGAGGCAGTCCTCCTGAGTTGTCAGCAAGGTTACATGGAGTGATGTTGGCTGCCCTCCATTCTGAAAGTAGTTGAGACCTAGAGTAGACTGTTAGGCATCTACCAAATACATGATTACTGCATTTCTTGTTGTTAATTTCATGGAAAACAGCAACAAATATTTTTATAGGAGACTTGCTGTTTACCTAGTTATGCCCATTTGGACCTCTGTTAACCTTATCATTATGCCTCCATCAATGAGAAATAGTTCTGTATTTGTATAAGGAGAAATAAGTCTTAAATAAAAGTGAAATGGGCCTTTGTTTTTTATTCTTAACTGGAAAATATCCAATTTGAAAACCATTAACAAAAGATACAAAATATTTAGAGTTTTACTTGTGATTTATGCATTGAAAGCTATTTTTATTTTTGATACAACCTTTGTTTAAAATGTTTTCATTCCTTTTAAACATTTTTTCTATGCTATGCCTTGCTAACTCCACTCCAGAGCCAGTCCCAGTGCTAGGTGCTAATGAAAATAATTAAATAAACATTCCATGAGATCACATATTCCCCTACCTGACTAAAATGGAATTGCAAATGTTAAGAGATGGACTCTTGGGTTCACAAACAGCTTGTGCCAAGAAGCCCAAAAGTAGCATTGGTATCCGCTGCTGACATATTTTTTTCTTGCAGAAGAAAGCAGCTTCTAGCTTAAAAGTCAGTCTTACAAGGGTAGAAGCAAGCATAAAATGCATAAAATAAAAAATGGAGGCAGTAAAGTATAGTGAATGCAAATCTTAGCTTATTTGCATTGCTATCATATAGTGCCTAGTAGGTACCTGAGTATTTTGGGGATTGTTCATTCCCAGATGAAGCACTTTACACACCTCTCATTGTTGAACTTCATCTGGCTCCTATCCACCCAATCTGCCAGCCTGTCTAGGTCTGTCTGTATCTGCAGTCTATCTTCACTCCCCTATAACTTGGTGTCATCTGCAAACTTGGCCAGTGAGCTCTTCACTCCCACATCCAAATCATTGATAAAGATGTCGAAAAGAACTGGACCAAGCAGCGACCCCTGCGAGACACCACTGGCCACTTCTCGCCAGAACAACACAGATCCATTCATTGGAACTCCCTGGGTCCTACCCCACAGCCAGCTTTGTATCCACCTAACTGTTGAGCAGTTAAGCCCTCAATCCTCCTATTTTCCTGTGAGAACATCATGGGATACCAGATCAAAGGCCTTTTGGAAGTCAAGGTATACAATGTAGGCATACCAATGTGGCATCTTTGTAGGCATCATGGCAAAGGAGAATTAGAAGGAACACAATCCAAGTGTTCAGTCCTGTCCAAGTAGCTTTCCACGTGTTTCCAGCAGGCAGGAAGCACAAGAAAAATCTAGGTAAAGGATAATGTTAGCTGGTATTATTGTGTGGTGGAGCACCTTTGGGTGTACTTGCCGCTCGAGGGCTTTCACAGGCTTTGAGGGGAGCCTGCTTTGGCGGAGTAGCAGGGGAAACCTCCCCCAGGAACTATATTAAGGGGGGTGGATGTAGCAGGGCACTGTTGGTGCCTATCACTTTAAGAGTGGAGCAAAGCAGCCAGCAGGTGTTTGATTGCGGTAGCCATTTTAGATCTCTGGCCACCTATATAAACAGAGCAGTTCCCTGCTGGCAGGTGAGGCAGTAACATCACCTGGCTGCAAGGCTGCATGCAACATCCTGGAGGTAAGGGCAGGAGCTGTAGGGGATGGTTTGGGGGCTCCTGGTCCTGGGCATGACCTAAAACTGCACCCTGCCAGGAGTGGGTGGCCTGGTGAGACTCTCAGTAGAAAGGTGGGTTGGGGCACCTTAACCCCAGTGTTCATCTTCGGGTGTATCATCTAACATCAAAGATAGTTGGGGCCAAGCACGGCTGCAGCTGCCTGAGTCCTGTGGGGTGCAAGACCCCAAGGAGAGGTAGTTGGGGCTAGGCATGGCTACGGCCACCTGAGCCCACCAGGGAAGGAAGCCCCACAGCCCCAGTGAGGGGGCGGTGTGGAGCCCCAGTGAGGGAGCAAAGATGAGGGGCCCCAGTGGGGGGAGAAAACCAGAGGGCTGGGAGCCCAGTAGGTCTGAAAGTATAGAGTTGCCCCGGGAGGGGCCAGGACAAGCTTGGACCCGGTTGGGTAATTGGCTGGCCACTACCTGGTAAGGGTTGTGGGAGAGACCCAAAACATGGTACATCTGCTACCCAAGATATGAGCTAGCTAAAGCCTATTGGCCAAAGAGGCCCACTAAAAGAGGGAGCAAGGCATTATAAGTTGTCGATGTCTATAAGAGACCCTGTGAGATGAAGTGGAGTGTGTGAGGCCCTAGTGAGAGGAGGACGGTATGAATGTGCGTCTGTGGCCTGATAACAAGGGCTAAGGCCAGGAGCACTATCAACCGGATGCCATATGCAAGACTTGGGCTGCAGTGTAGGGGAGGAATGGAGCTGCAGATAGCGCCCCCTGGCATCGGGGAAGAAATGGGCAGCCTCCTGCCTTAATTAACAATATAATTAATTACAACAAGGCATGGCAGGAGAGACAGGTAGGCAGTGTGCTCAGAGGCAGGTGGGGAAACCAGCACTGTGGCTGGTCAGGGAGTTCTCACTGCCATACATTGGCCCATTTAAGGCAGGAGTTAATCACTCAGTAATGTATGAAAAATGATCAAGTAAAGATAGGCCCTGAAAGTCCTGAGAGTAAAGACAAGCAGTTTGTTTGATGTGATGGAGAGGTGAGCCCAAGGAAGGGGTGTAAAAGAAGTACATTTAAATCTATCTGAAAATAGGATTACACTTTAACACTTCAGTAAAAGTCTGATCCAAGCATTACACTGCCGTAAGGAGCTACAGATAGCTAAAATAGGGCATCAAAATAGCTTATTCAAGTACGTCAGTCAAATTATAGCTCCTTTAAAAAAAAAAAAAAAAAAAAAAAAAAAAAAAAAAAAAAAAAAAAAAAAAAAAAAAAAAAAAAAAAAAAAAAAAAATCATCTCTTACCTGGCAAGAGTGTCAGATGATGGAGATTGTGACAAATGGTGAATATTCTCCTATGCAATTTTGTGCCCAGAAACTAAAATTTACTTGTTCAATCTACTTTTTTAGAAATTAAATGCAACTAAAACTGGCTTTTTAGAGCATAGATATCTTCCTTTACCAAAAAAAATTGTATTCTCATGATATTTTCCTCCCTTAAAACTTCCTGTTCAGTGAAGCATGGCTTCTAAGTAAACATAGATTTGGAGGGCAAGCTGTCAAAGAATGCATGTAGTGTCTTCAAGCACTGTGTCCTCTGAAGGGCTACTAGGCATGATCTGCATCCCTCAAGGATTCTTTTGGCACCTATAATTTGGAACCAAATGAAAGAAAATACGCTGTGCCGTCCATGCTGTGCCCTCCAGCTATTAAAGAACCAAATAAGTTTAACTTGTGTTCCAGCAGTAGCACACTGTTGAAGAATCTGGAACTTTAAATGTCCTATGTTTGCACTGCTTAAAAATATTGAAATAGTCCCCCATCTAGTGCAGCTTCAGCATATATTAATATTATATAATTTGATTGACAGCAAAGTCCTGTTGTGCCTCAGTAAGCTAGACCAATTTAACGATTACAGCTAGGGACAGAAGTTACACAAAACCGGTTTAAGTGATCAGAAACTGGTTTAAACCTGTAACAGAATAGAAGTTCAGTGTACATAAAACAGTTTCAAAAAGGCTGTAACTGGTTTAAGACCAACCTGGTTGAATGTAAATGATTAACTGATTTAGGTCAAACCAGTTTATGAAACTTCTATCCCAGACCCCTTCCTGGTTCAAATTAAATCAGAGTCTCCCAGCATCCCAGCATGTTACCACCCTGGGAGGGGGGTTAAACTTCCCTTCCCCTGAGTATGGAGCTGCCCTGCCTGCTTGCTTAGTGCTGACTGCAACTGTGGTCTCCAAATCCCAGAGGTACCTGGAAGCAAGAAGAGGAAATGATGAGCAACCCTGCAGAGTCCTGCTTCTGTGAGTCCGGACTTCAAATCCCAGATACCTCTGGAGCAGCAGAAAGAGGAAGCGAACACACAGTCCATGCTGGCTACATGCCAGAAAGCCATGCTCTAGAGCCCCCTGGGGTTCTGGCTTGAGCCACTGCAGGCATGTGGCTGCATTTTCTGAATCAAAAGTTAATGTCTGTTCATTTGCTTATTGATTCAATCTTTGCAGCTTAGACTAACCTGCAAAGATTGAATCAATTCAGCCTCAGGCTTTTTGATTGAATCAATTCAGCCTCAGGCTTTTTACTAGATTGGCTGTACTCAACATACCTGTCTGGAGGATGTGGTTTAGCTGAAGATTCTTCATTTGCTCATCTACATCTTTCAAAGGCCATCACAATACACTGTTTCCTTCCCTGTATGCACTTCCTAAAATTCTCTTAGTGTTTGGAGCAGTGATTTCCAAAGGGTGTGCCATGAGATTGGGAACAGTGTGCCATGAAAAATTATAGTTTTCTTTTTTCCTTTTTGTGTGCTAAGCTGTGGGGCATAGCATGTGTTCAGGGCAGAGCACAGAGTAGAGCATGGCAAGGCCACGTCTGCAGGGTGCAACAGTGGCAATTTGCAAATGTCTCATCCCGGCACAGCTCCCCAGTGGCTGGAAGCTGCATGCATATCACAGCTGGGGGCTTGGAGAAGCAGCAGTGGCACCAGGACTGGACACCTGTAAAATGCCCCTGCCAGCCTGCATTCTGGGCTGCACATCTAAACACTCAACACCTTGCTTTGCTGTGCATGCTCTGCACACATGCTGTGCCCCCTCACTGGACAGGTAAGGGCCCATCCACCCAGCTCCATTCCCTTCCTTCCCCTTCCCTTCCCTTCTTAGGTCCAGCCAATCACAGGCAGCCAGGAGCTGCACTAAGCTCCATGGAGCCCTCCCCAAAAATGTTCTGTTTTATACTTTGTTAAACTAAAAACTAAATTATACATACAATAATTATACATACAAATGTTTTATATGTAATGTATTGGAAAAATTGCTATTCAATTTTGCATGTTATTTTAAAGTGTGTGTGTGTGTGTGTGTGTACGCGTGCGTGCATGCCCATGCACACACTCTT